ATCCCTAGCTGCATTCAGAATTTTCTCTTAATCCTTGTATGTTGCCAGTTTCACGATGATGTGTAGTGCAGAAGATCGATTCAAGTTATGTCTGAAGGGAGTTCTCTGTGCCTCTTGGATTTCAATGCCTTTTTCCTTCCCCAAATCAGGGAAGTTCTCAGCTATGATTTGTTCAAGTACACCTTCAGCCCCTTTCTCTCTCTCTTCTTCTTCTGGAATTCCTATGATACAGATATTGTTCCGTTTGATTGCATCACTTAGTTCTCTAATTCTCCCCTCATACTCCTTTTTTATGTCTCTTTTTCTCAGCTTCCTCTTTTTCCATCATTTTATCTTCTAATTCACCTATTCTCTCCTCTGCCTCTTCAATCCGTGCTATGGCCACCTTCATTTTATTTTGCCCTTCATTTATAGCATTTTTTAGCTCCTCATGACTATTTCTTAGTCCCTTGATCTCTGTAGCAATAGATTCTCTGCTGTCCTCTATGCTTTTTTCAAGCCCAGCGATCAATCACAGGGTTCTATTCCCGAAGCCAAGACTACACTGTATGTTAACTAACTTGAATTTAAATTAAAAAAAAAAAATTGCAGGCATAAAGGAAATTAATAGAAACGAGCACAAAAGCTATACACACACAAAAAAGGCAGAAGGATCCCAACAATGGGATAATGGGTAACTGAGGGCAGAATCCTTGATCTCTAAAAGGACCACATGTGTAGAGTTTAATGCTAAATATGCCTGGTAGTTAAGAAGTACATTGATAACACAGGACAGGGAAACATCCAAATTCACCTACTTTGGCCTGCTCTACTGATGCGTTAAACCGAATATTGTCACCTCACCTTACTGATATACTCTTATCCGACATTAATCATTTTCCCCCAAATTTCAGCCCTATTTGTAATTTCCACTCCAGCAGTACATGTGTTCCTTCACCAAACCATCCAAAAACTTCCTAGGTTCGTTCCAGGGGAAGGTGCTTCAGTGATGAAATGCCAGCATCAAAAATGCGTTTGGTCCCACTCCCCATCCCCAGAGGCCTCGGATCCAGCCACAGAGCCCTGGCCTACCTCCACGGAGATGTCATCCCTTGTGGCCAAGCTCTGGCTGACAGCTGCCAGCGAGGCCTGCTCAATGTCGCGGATGCACCGGTTGATGCCATCGATGGAGTAGTCACACTCTCTCTGTCCAGGGGCCTTGTCCCTGGAAGAGACAGGGCAAGTCCAATAGTTCCTTGGGGTTCAAGTCCCACAACTTGCAGCAACACTGCTGGGGCAGGAGCCCTGTCTACCTTCTACCACATTTGATTGCTTTATTTAAGGAGTGAATCCTCAGGGCACCTGGGTGGCTCAGTCAGTGAAGCGTTGACTTTGGCTCAGGTCATGATCTCTTGGTATGTGAGTTCAAGCCCCACGTCGGGCTCTGTGCTGACAGCTAGGAGCCTGGAGCCTGCCTCAGTGTCTCTGTCTTCCTCTCTCTACCCCTCCCCTACTCAAGCCCTGTCTGTCTCTCAAAAATAAACATTAAAAAATTAAAAAAAAAAAAAAAGGAGTGAATCCTTGACTCTTGCTTGGGAAGGCCTCTCTGCATAGCCCATGCCTTTCTTAATTTAACACCTGTGCTAACTCTGTTTCTAGTGAGAAGGATAGGATGCTGTTCTTCATTTCAGGCTGGTGACAGACAACTGCTAATCCAACAATTTGGACTTCACTGGCTTACGTGAATATTTATAAATTAATACTATAAATAATATTATAAATAAAAACCTTTGTATTATAAAAAGGTCAGTGTGATTTCCACTGTAAACATACTATACTCTCTATGTTGTATACTATTTACAAAGTCCTGTGGTAGGAGTTCAAATATTTAGTGGATTGTACTTTGTGAGGCATTAAGAGAACCATGGTGCTGAATTTCAAAAGCAATCGAAAAACAAAGTATAACCAAAGGAAAAGGATGCATTCCATGCTATGGGGTATGTGGCCAACTTAGAGATGTTATATTGACTCTGGGGATTTTTCAGGTTCATTCTATTGCCAAGGAGTTCAGAGATGTCCAGAGTTACTATGGGACCTGGAATATTCTTTTTGCCTCTTTAGCCAAATAAGGTAACCTCAAATCCTGCTAAATACATAGTGGTGTTCTCTGCCTAAGCTCCTAGGTATAGACAATGTAGTACAATGGCTAGCCCTGGGACTAGAACCATCAGGCCTGGGGGTGACTGTGAAAATACTCCCTAAGTCCTTTCTGCCTGAATTCTCTCATCAGTAAAATGTGGACAATGGCAGTGTTTACCTTTCAAGGTTATGATGATGAAATACGGTAATACAGGTAAAATGTTCAGATCTGACATACAATAAGTGTTTAAGTTAGCTATTGTGCACAGTGCTACCACTGGTCCCAAAGAGATACATGAAAAGATGATGATAATGATCAGGTACATTGCTATGAAACCCAAGTCCCATTGGATTTATCTACTTTCTGCCCTGTTCAGATGCAGGCCCCTAGCAATTTCTAGAGTAGAAACTAACCTGATAGATGTGATGAGACTCTTGATAGAGTCAGACACGGTGTGGGAATGTCCGGCTAGCACAGACCAGGTAGGCGGGTCTTTGGGGTTGATGGCCAGTGAGCGTGCAGTGCGAATGAGGTATGATGAGCTCTCCAGCATGGTCTTGGCTGAGACCAGGATCGGTTCCTGTGCCTGGGAGCCCTGAGAGCAAACAGCAGAAGGGTCAGAGGGCAGGGTGCACAGATTAAGTGAACAAGTTCTTTCCCAAGTCACTACCTGGGTTCTTCAGAAAGTGACACAGAGGTTAGGAAACCATGAAGACTAGTTCACACAGAGCCTGAATGGTGTGGACTTGGGTCCATGTTTGCCCTTAAATATCACTTTTGAGGGTGGCACATACCAAGAAAGAATCAGCCCTAAACTTAGGCACAGAGATTTTTCTCAATACAGAAAATTAAGGCATTACCACTTAAGATGTGCATACCTTGAGTTTCATGAACTCTGGGCATGTATCATCATTGGCAACAACAACAATGTCCTACAAGACAGGGCTTTTGGAGCTCTTAACTGTTCATGCTCATTGAGTGCCACATAAACTAGCCACAGACTGAAATATTACCTTTGCTGCTAAGATCCCTACCTCGGAGCTGATCTGGGCGGGAATGCTGACAAACTCAGGGTTGGATGCGAAAGCTGTCAGGTTCTCTACAGCTTCGATCAAGGGTGCGGTGGCAATGCGACACTTATTGCGGTTGTCTTCAGAGAAATCCCCATCCAGGGCCTGATGGGAGAAAACACAGAGACATTAGCCCATTGAAATGCACAAACCGCTTGTGGCCACTGTAATCATCTCCTGTTGGAAGAACGTGGTTTAATGGGAATACTGAAAATGTTAGGGGAATTCCTAAATAAGTAATTGGAGAGATCACGCCATCAAGCAGAGGGACTCAATTAGCAATTATAAGAAATAAAGTTTAGTATGTAGCTCAGAAGGCACCTGACCTCAAAGTCCATCAATTTCCCACTCATATGACCTTCAAGCTGAACCATTTTCTTCCCCACTTTTCAGACTATAACCCTTGGGCTCTTTCCCTCCATTTTCACTCTAAGTCTATTCCCTCCCAAGTTATAAAAACACTTTACATTGTATAGCACTTTCAACTTTTTCTAACTTTTATCTGAATATCCCTGAGAGAATGATGGAGGTAGGGGTTCTATATCCGCCATTTTGAAATGAGCAAAACGGAATCCAATGAGAAGGAATGGACCAGAACTACCTCCAACAACATCGGCAAATCTCACTAAGGTATATTTGCAGAGGCCAGTTGCAAAAATGTACTTACTGTATGATTCCATTTGTGCAAGCACAAAAGAGGTTAAACTAATGTAAGGTGTTAGCAATCAAGTGACCCTTCACAGCAGATGAGACTGAGGAGCACAAAGAGGGCTTCTGTAGGCTGGCCACGTTCTATGTCTTGCTCTGGCTATAGCTCCCTACGTGTACTCGACTTAAGTTCACTGAACTCTGTACCTATGATATGTGTTTTCTTTCTATCCATCTTATGCTTCAAGAGCTTTTTTAAAAAAATAGTAGCAGGTAACAAAGTGGCAGTGACTCATCAGTCACACTGCTGATTAATGGCCCAGATGAGAAGAATTCAGGAATGTAGTTTGTGATCCGTGACAGGCTGCCTGACAAAGGGTTAACACTTGGATTTGAGGTTCTCCAAACCCAGACCCTACCTCCTGAAGAACAAGACTGTTAGAAAGCCTGTGATCCAGTGAGAGTATCCCTTCTTCTAGGCAAAGGGTTACTTTTGAAAAGGCAGTTATACTTGTAGAAGAACGTAAATTTCTCCATTAGATGGCCAATTAAACTTGTAATTCAACTGTGATGAGCAATATATAAAAGCCAATTTGGACAATTAGTGCACAAAAAAAAAAAAAAAACAGAGGCACCAGCATTATGAAACAAACCAGATCTGAGACGAGAGTGTTTCTATTTTTCAGGAAGGCAAGAGTAGACAGGCACGTACGCGATAAAGGCTATTTCTGAATAACAGCTACATTCCAATCAAGCCCTGGCTGCTGGGGACAATAATTATGCATCCACCATGCTAACATTTTCAGAGGAATTCCCGTGAGCCCTGCTAATTTACCATCATTACTAATACCACGCACGCCTTGCCTCTGCTCATCCATAGGCAATGACCCCTATTCTAACCTCACCAATTCTGCCAACCTTCCAGACCCAAGAGCAACCCTATGTGCTTGCTCACATCGCCAGCTCACATATATGGCCTCTGTTCTAACTGCCACTCGTGTGCTCAGTCAATGTGGACTTAGCACCGGTGACCTGCATGGTGTCTTGTTACTCTCGTCTTGTTATACTATCAACACCATTGACGCCTTGAGTCAGGCTCCGCCAGCCTTCAGAGCAATCTGAGGATATGCTGGGAGGCAGGGCGGGTATCACACAGCAGGAGCCGGGCAGGAGTGGCCCCAGAACAGGCAAGCAGAGTAACAGGCAGATGGCAGAAGCGGTCTTCGGTGTCAAAGGAACTCAAATCCCAGCCACACCAGTGGCCAATGCCACCGCCTCTGGCTGGGATGATGTGGCTTCTAGCTCAATGGAAGATGCCAAGCCTCCCCTCAGTGATGCTCATGCGTCCTGTTCTTACCTCCCCACCCCTTTTCCACCTCCCACACTTTTCCCCACCCCTTTTCCACCTCCCACAATCGTCTCAGCCTATTAGGAAGGCAGACACCTGATCAAGCCAGCAACCTTTCTTTACTTGAACTTGTTATTCAAAATGCAAAGATGATTAGCCGAGGTAAATCCCAAGAAGCAGTTTTCTAATTGTGCAGTTTCATAAACTGTACCAAGAGGTGAAGAAAGGACATATATTTTTTGAGCCTGGGCACTAAAATCACACATCACGCAGCCCACTGCTATTCATGGGACAGGACCTTGAATAATGTGGAACGGTGGGCCAAGCTACGTCAACCACTTTTTTTTTCATTTTCGAAAAGGAAAAACTAGGGGCATCTCAGTGGCTCAGTTGGTTGAGCGTCTGACTGCGGCTCAGGTCATGATCTCGTGGTTCATGCGTTGGAGCCCCACACTGGGCTCACAGCTGTCAGCGCTGAGCAGGCTTCTTCAGATGCTCTGTTCTCCTCGCTCTCCCTCTGCCCCTCCCCCACTCGGACCCTCTCAAAATAAATAAAACATTAAAAAAAAAAAAGGAAAAGCTATTTCCGCTGGAGGTAGCACTTAGTGTCAGAGAGGATGGTTTACACAGATATCATGTCATTTCTGAGTGCCTCTTCCACTCTGGGGTTGGCTGAGCCACGCAAGTAACCTGAATATGCAAATCTGCTCACTGGTGAAATTTTAGGCAGACGTGACAGTTTTCGTGTAGACATTCCATGTCACAGAATGTCTAGTACCCCAATCACAACAATGAAGGGGGTGAAGTCACCGAGCCAAATGCCTAGGCCCCATTGGGACAAGGACATTCTTGACCCCTGGGCCAGCTCCTCTGAATGTTCTCTTAGCAAAATCTCACAGGAGTCTGGGAGACCTAATTTCTGCACGTGTACTGGAATCAAACATTCACGGACTTGAGGGGGTTGGGAGGGACCTTAAGACCTTAAATATTTGGGACCTTAATCACAAATCCCTAACGTTCTAGATGATAAAACCAACACCCAGAGACTGGCACGCTATCCAGGCTCAGGCCTCAAACGACAGCCTGTGACCCCTGCCTCCCTTCTCTCCTGACCTTGGACAAAGGCAATAAGGAGGAAGAGAAACCTGCGAAGTTTTTCCCTTTTTCTTCTGAAAACAAAACGAAACGAAACACAACGCAACCTACTTTACCAATCCAAACATAAAGATGAGCAACAACATCAACATCGGTTAATGAGAGCTTGACCGGGCATCTTTGGTACATTCTGGAAATGCTTCATCGCAAAACCTGATCTTCAACTCCGCTGTCAGACTCAAGGCCACGCTTTCACTTCTCAGAAGAGTAAAAGCTGTCGTACAACTTCTACCTGGCACCGAAACCTGAGCGACTGCACATTTAAAACAGCATTCCATTCCACATCTGTGATTTAAGACTAGGTAATGAGCTGAATGAAGAAAGAAAAGCAGCTGACCTCTGTGGGGTGACCAGTGGAAAGAAAGCGACCGTGGGGAGGGGGTCTGTGTGCTTCTAACGTGTCTGGCATTTAGAGCAACCTGCCAGGGAGGAGGGTGCGGATAATGTATTCTTGCTGAGCCAAGCTTTGGGATTTTAAAGAACGCCCTTGGTAGCAGTTTAAGATTCCCGGGGGCACACATTCTTGGGGTGCTGACAACCCACCACAAAGGTCTGTTCCCTGGTCTTCAGTGTCTGTCTGGCTGGGTCCCCCTCCTTTCTTTGTGCCTATAGAGGTGCGGCAACTGGGATTTCGGGTTGGCCACATTGTCATGGTGAAAAGAAAAAGAGAAGCACTAGGAGGCCTAAAACAGAGCAAAATGTAGCTACCAGGGCAGCTGTCTTAAACTTTTAGGGAATTAAATATTCTTTTTTTTTTTTTTTTTTTTTTTTTGCTGTCTGACAGGATTCTTAACCCTTCCTTAAAAAAGGAAATCCACATTCAGTATATAGTGTGGTGCGCTGCAGTGAAATGACCATGACCATTTTCCTCTGAGTAAATTAAAAACAAGGCTCGTTGTCCCTGGCCAATCCTGCCCCGTCCCCCCAGGGGGAATTGCAAAACCAAGCACATTTCAGCCAGTTGAGGGGCATTAGGTTCATTTCTGTTCCTTGTGCACTGCTACTGGATCCCAGGGAGGTCACAGAGGCGAGGCCTTCGTCTTCCCCACCTAACGATCCCGCCGTACCCTCCTCTGATGTTCCTGCACAGGCCTATCTTTCAGGCCATCACAAGAGCTCATTTGCCACCGGGAATTGCAAAGAGGGTTGGACACCGTGAGGGGAATCTGAAAAGAACAGGAGATCTTAGCAGAGATGCTTTATACAGAGATAGGTCAGGACTTAATACCAGGAGGAGACAGAAAAGAAAGGTTCCCAGGAATTTCTATAGAACAGTTTCCTTCCTTTTTTCCCTCCCGTGGTCCGTCTAAATATAGTCTGTTTTCTAATGATCAGAAAATGGCCAAGCTTAACTGAAGTCAGTTAATCATACAGCAACCACTGATGATGTCACTCCCTTCAACTCTATTGCTGTCTTTCATCCTGCCACCCCCAATTTGCACATAAGGAGTGTAAACACACCAAGGTGTTTCTTCCCAGGTTAGGCTGGATTTGAACAGGATGCTGGGGTGAGAGCAGGATCGAGAGCGGAAAGAGCAGGGGCTCCGGGTCTGGGCTGCAATTCCCATCTGCCACTTACTGGCTGGGTCACCTTGGGTAAGTCACTTAACCTGCTAGCTCCTAGTGTCCTGATTGTAAAATGGGGGTGACAAGCACAGGGGATTTGTATGAATTGATGAGTAATACACACAAAACACTTGAAACAGGCTTTGTACAAAGCAAGCAGCTAAAAATGTAAGCTTTCTTAGTTTCTATGAACTATGATGGTAATTAAGGTAAGCTGCCGCCCGGATCCCAGGGGCACCTGGTCATGGCTTTAATTTGTTTCCAACCTATCTCATTATTGTCTTCAAATACGCAGGCTTTCCTTTGACGCAGGCTCTTTGTTTAGACAGCTAAGAAACTGCTGACGGGGCTAAGTGCTCCCTGCTCTCCCCCGCCAGCTTGCTGTGTGTTCTCCCCTTTGCTTCTGGCTGGCTCAGCTTGTGGATGGACTTCTCCACGTTATTAAAGTGGCTCTGCGTAGTGCTAGGAAAATGAGGGGTGTGGTACCCTATCCTCTGGAGAGGACAGGGGAAAGTCCCATTACTCCCAGGCTTGCCCAACAACAAAGCAGGTGACCCTCCCTCAATGAATGTGACAATCTTTAAGTAAATATTAAGCCTCCAGTGGCTTCCCCAACCTCCTATGGGGGTTGCTCACCTTCCACAACAGCCACCTTTGGAGGTTTGGATGTAGGGGGCGAGGTCCTGGGCTCTTTGCCTGTGGTCTGCTGTTCAGCTGTGGTTCTTTTCCCCACAAGGGCAGCTGCCAGCTGCAGCTTGGTCTCCGCTCGTGGCAGACAGGATTTGTGACTTTATCACCCACCTATAAATACTATAGGCCAGCCGCTGCAATTCCTTCCTCACAAGGGCCCCTGCCCCTCCCCCAGCCAGTCCATGGCCTTTAACACAAAGATGAACTTGATAGAAACATGGGGCGTTCTATTTTAAAAATCAAGTACTCCATTTCAAGCATTTAAACAGAATAGGGATCAAAGGATAGATTAAACTGAATTTTTAAAGTGACTTCCCACAATCTCCCATTCCCTTCTCCCCTCCACCTTCTCTCTAGGTCCCAATAGATGTACCAAAAATGGCAACCCTGTACCAGAAATTTCCTGCAGCAAATGAGCTCAAAACCACCCTACATTAGCTTACTGTTTGAGTAAACCCAAGGTATTTGCTACTCAAGCATAGTGCCAACAAATGCCTCACGGCCAACCTCTTCCCGATTTCTGCCCCTAAGCTTCCCGTGTACAGAATTTGGAGACGCCCTCCCCCATTATCCAAGAAGGTTAGCTGAGACCAAGGCTGTTGGTTTTTCATGATAAGTATCTCCATTAGTAAAGGACTCCTCCTTAGTGATTTGAATCAGGAGTGAAGCTTCACTACACACAAGCCTTAGGGGACAAAGAGCTTAAATCCTGCAAAGATCTTTTCCGTCGGCAACAGGTGACACAGGGGTCACGAAGGTCTCAGCTCTGAAACCTACCTTGATGGTCTTCACCAGGTTGGCAGTGCTGTTGGCGACTTCCTTGGCTGACTGGACAAAGTGCCTCTTGGCCACTGGGTTGGCTGTCTTGGATGAGGCGATACGACAGGCGTTGCACAGGGCCGAGGTGTGCTTGGCGACAATTGTGGCCGCGGACAGAACCTGCAAAGTGTGGAGCTGGGTTGGGGCATCCCATGCTCAGTGCCAAGGAGTCTACCCTGGTCTGGAGCCCTGGATTCCTCTTCAGCTCCCATATCTGTGTAACTCCAACATGTGCGTCTAGCTCCACCGCCCCCAAGTCACTCCAAGAAAGCAGGGGACAGACAAGAACTACTAAGCAAGAGAGAACGAACAAAAGGAAAGGAAGTGATGCTTCCTTACTGGGAGAGGGCTGGACTCCAGAGAGTCTTAAAGGAGATGCAGGCAGCTATGATTCATGACCCTTGGCCAGCCAAGAGGCAAATGGTCCAGGATCTAGGCCAGTGCCGCCCAACACGAGTAGAGTGTGAACGACACGTGAAATTTCAAATTTTCTAGTAGCCTCATTAAAATAAGCAAAAGGGTGCCTGGGTGGCTCAGTTGGTTGAGTGCTGACTACGGCTCAGGTCATGATCTCAAAGTTCACGAGTTCAAGTCCCGATTTGGGCTCTGTGCTAATGGCTCAGAGCCTGGAGCCTGCTTCAGATTCTGTGTCTCCCTCTCTCTCTGCCCCTCCCCCACTCACACTCTATCTCTCTCAAAAATAAACATAAAAAAATTAAAATAAGTAGAGAAAACCAAGAGAAATTTATTTCGGTCGCTTATTTAACTTGATAGAGGCACAATATTTCATTTCACCAGGTAATCGATTTAAGAATTTGAGATTTTACAATCTTGTCATACCAAGTTTCAAGCTCCAGTGTGTATTTTACACTTACAGCCCATCACAACTTGGACTGGCCACGTTGCGAGTGCTTAATGGCCACAAGCAGCGTGTGGCCACCACACTGGAGCCCAGGTCTAGAGGAGGAAAATAAACATCAAGGTGTAATAGCTCCTTCTTCATGCACAGGTGGACTGTGGGCACCCGATTAAGGGGTCTGGGCCAGGCATCTTCCAGGCTCCACCCCCAACCCCAATGGCTCTTGTGAATCACCCGATCCACTTGGCTGAGTTTGGTAACACATCTTTGACCTTTATCAGACAGGTTGGGAGGTTAGGTGCCCTGATGTGTTCCATGCCAGCTCTCAGGCCTGCTATAGGTCAGAGGACCCCTCTATTGCCTCCTGAATGTAGGTCCTTCTCCAGCCTCAACTAGGCCTGTCTCAGGGTTCACAGTGGCTGTGGGACTCTCAGGCTGGCTCGGGGTGTCCTACAGACCAGGCCTTGTTTCTTCAGCACACGCAGCTTGAGTAAGTGAACAGGACTCCATGACACTTGAATAAGGAGTGTTGCACGTATGGTCTAGTCCTAAAATGCCTCTGTGGGTCCTTAGTGTACTTTGGATTTGGATTCTGGCTCAGTACCACCGTCTCTGTGAAATGAACCTTGACAGCCCCTCCGAGTTCATCCCCTGTTCCCCCGTGCATCCCTGGTGCTGTCATCACACCCCGGCCATCCCATCTTCCAAACTTTATCCAGAAGAGTGGGTGCCAGGGCAGAGGGGATCAGGTCCTCGTGTTGACCCCTAGTGCTGAGCACAGAACGAGCACTCCACCTATGTCCTCTGACCGGAATGAAATCATGAGACTCCTGATGACTCTCTCAGTGATTACTTCACTCCTCCTGCCTCCAGTACCTCGTTTCAAAGCACTGACACACTGGCACACTCACCACATTTTGCAATATCCCCCTACCCCCTCACGCTCCTGAGTTGTTATTGGCAGTGCTGAGTTTACCTGACTTTGCCAGCTCCGAGAGAACAGTATTCTTTACTCGTTTCTCACAGTCTCCTACCCACCTAGGACAGCTTAAGGACTCACAGACCTCACACCCACGCCCCGTGGTTACCTGTGACGGGCTGCTGCCGGGGTCCACCAGGTTCTGGCATGCCATCTGGATGGCCTGGTTGGCCCTGGCAAACTGGATGGGGTCCACAAGGCCCTGGTGGCCCGCCTGGCTGTTTGGATCAGAGATGCCCACCAGGTATGCAGCCTGGAAACGGAGGAGGAAACCACAGCTCAGACTGTCTGTGCTCCTACATGAGCCTGTAGGGGACGACGGCCTGGCAGTGCAAATGTAGCATTCTCAGGGGCTCCTTAGTGCACGGTGGTGAGGGTAATCTCATCAGTGAGGGTTTAAGGATACATGGGCCGATGGTGGCAGGAGTCTTCTGTAGGCTTCTAGGAACGAAACCTCTCTGCACCTAAGAAAGCCTAAAGAAGCTTTTCTATGGGTCATGAACAAGGATGAAGGCAGCCCTGTGTGCTGCTGGTAGCCATCTTATGAGCCTAAGGGCACCCAGTCTGTGTTGTGTGAAGCTGACTCTTTGACTGGAAGATGGGAGAAGCACAAGAAAGTGGGTGTAGACCAAAGACATGAAGCTGCTAGGTCACTCAACCCTGGAGCCTGTCCTGCACGGAAGTTTCTGGTCTCACAGCCTAATGCATCCTTAGTGTTTAGGCCCGTATTTCCAATAGTAAGTAAAGAGAATGCGCAGGATGGCTCAGGAGGGCAAAAAAACCCAAAACCAACCAAACAAAAAAAGGCAGTATTTGCTCTCTAAGAGGACAAGAGGCTCTAAGAGAAGGTCTTCTCTTTAAAACCCTTTGGATGGGTTAGTCAAATCACAGGCAGACAATGAATCTGTGAGCAGGAATTTTAACCTTAAGTTATTTCCTGTGAGATTTGAGGGGCAAGATAATCTCATCCCCCAAAGTAGGGAATGTTTCCCTTTGGTTCAATAAAATCTTTCAGGCTCAAGGTAATTGTCAAGTGACAAATCCTTCAAGGTAAATGCTGACAATTTTTGAAGCTTCAGTCACATGAACCCAATAATTATCAGAGATGCACAGGACAGTTGAACAAAAGCAAGGAACATGCCCGATCACATCTTGGCAGGATGGTATCTAATTTTTTTCTCCCTCTGATCCTAAAAAGAGCATGACTAAGATTTTTGCATTTTTAAAGCTTCAGAGAGAATGTGAATTATGTAATACCCATTTGTTTTCTCCTCATAACAACTCATCTGTAAAAATGGTCTTACACACACACACACACACACACACACACACACAAATCTGGCCTCTGAACCCTTATGCTGGGTCCGCAGTGTTCAGGGTCTCACTGTCCTTGCCAGGATGCTCTGCTCCTGGGGGGGGTAACTGGCTGATGTTTTGTCTAAATGCCCCAGCCATCACAGGAACCTCCGCCTTTACCATGGTTTCTATGATGGTAGTTGGAGAAGGAGCTGTGGCTGGAGCTCCCCCATGCCCCACTCTCCACAGGGATCTGGTACTCCCCTGCAGCTGGAGCTCCCCCATTCCCACCCCCCCACCCCCCACCCTAGACATCTGATATTCCTGGTATCCACAATCTACCATGGGACACAAGCGAAGGACATAGGCCTTAAGGCTAGAAGGCCTGCATCATAGGGCCTGGGGGCCAGTCCCTTACCTGGGCTGCAGCCTCTGTCAACCCACAGAGGGCCTTGGACGCAATCCCCACACACTCCCCAAAGGCAGGGAGGTCCCCGGTCTTGGCATTCTGTGAAATCCCTGCCATCGACTCGCCCAGAACCTACAAAACAACCAACCAGTGATACTCTCTGAGCTTAACATTCAAGGCGACTTCATTGACAGTATTTGCCATTATTTTTCTTTATTCACATTAAGAGGAGATTTAAGAGAATTCTATCATTTCTCTTCCATACAGAGAAGTGAAATGAAAGTATGAACCTTTCATCTAAAAGTTACCTACATCTCAAAGAGACATAGTTAGTATACACGAATCAATAAAGTAAAATCTATATAGGGCATGCCACAAGTTAGTGGTCTAAACTGAGAACTGTTAGCTCCCAGAATATAAAAATCAGATACGTAAACTGTAGGTAGTCACACCCAGGAAGCAGAAGACATACTCTAGGTAATATTATTTACTTACTTATTGACAGCAAAATTTAAATATGTTTTTGTTAAAAAGTACACACATACATACACACAGAAGGGTGATCTGAACACTAAGACTATTTCCTAATTTTTTAAGTATTTCCCCTTATTCTGAAAATCATTGATGTATTTTTTTCCAGAGGTCTTTAAAATAACAGATAAAAGGGAGTTTAATATTTAAAATCTAACCCAGAAAGGTCAAGGATCCTACAGAAAGTCACACAGAAGGCACATGGGCAGAGGCAGGACACCTGCCCCATATCTGGTGTTCTGTCTTCTCTGGGCCTCATCATGCCCCAAGAGGACAGGTCCTAGTCTACTTTCCAGAGTCACAGATGGTGGAATGAAAAAAAAAAAAAGAAATTCCCTAAAAATGCTTCGATATACGAAACAGTCCAGTTTACATAAAGACTGGAAAACAAAGAAGTTAGAAGGTATTGTTATATGAGTTATTTTCCTTTCCATAACCCTGTATCCCTCTTTAAGGAAGAGTTTCTTTGGCTCAAAGTATGTAAAACATATGCAGCCTGCCTAGGCAATCCATAATTCCATAAAGGATGCTGGATGGAGCAAATTCTAGTCTCAGCTCAATGCACAGCAAGCCAGTCCTGACATCACAACACAGATGTGCCATGTCCCCAGAGCTAACATAAGAGTGATGTAGACAAACACACACTTGTGCTCCAAGCACGAACTTGGCATTGCCAGCTACTCATTATCTGTTTCTCTCACTTGTATTTCACTGCAATGTGGATTTGAAGCATTCTTAACAACTCTGGTATTACCATCACAAGTTAGTGTTTCTCAACCTTTTAAGCCATCATTATTGGTCCACTGGGAAGTCTATTTAGCCTCCCCACCCGCAATTGCCACCCATATCCAAGTAAATACTAAGAAATAAGATTCTGTTGAGCAAGGTTAAGGTTTAGCAGGGGGTGGGGACACAAACGACTGTATTATTTAGATTTTCCATTCCTCCTACCTCCTCCACAAAACTTCAAGTTTTTCAGTCCCCTCAAGAATGCATGCCATCAATGGAAGGCAAAAAGAACACACAAGAGGGTCTCATAAAAGCCAGGGTTAACTGACAGGCTTTCCCCTGCAAGTTGGTCCCAAATGAAAGAAATCTATGATTCGACTCACCGTAAGACTCATCCATGATATGGTCTAACCATTGTATCTCAAAGTGTTATTTCTGGACCGCATTGGCAGGGACCTGGGGACTCGTCAGAAATGCACAATCTCAGCCCCACCTCAGATCTACTGAATCAGAAACTCAGGGGTAAGGTCCAGTAATCTGTGTTTAACAAGACCCCTAGGTGATTCCGAGGCGCAGCCAAGCTTAAGAAGCATTTGAGCAAAGGGCTTCATGGTGAGGCTTCATGATGATATAGTCACACAAAGTGGCTGCAGGCAGATACATACAAAACCATCTAGATTTTTCCCCACAATGAGGAGGAATGTTAACAGCACAGACAGCCTTACCTTGGAGTTTTCCATCACACTCTCAATGCAGTCAAAGTAAGAGAGGTCACTAACAGGTTCATTAGGATTGTCCAACATCCCCTTGACAGTCTACAGAAGGAAAACACAACTTCAAAAGCAAGCCAGTGTTACAGAATAAGAGAAATCCAACGTCATATGAACTAACAACTTCCCCTCCCTACAGAGAATTCTGGTCATGATCACTCATGTCTCCAGATTCTTGAAAGGAATTTAAAGGGTTTTATCTGTGACTTCAGATTTTCCGCTGGCAACAAAAACATAGACGGCAAGGAGGAGGATGTCTCAGGTTAGCTTCAACAGAGAGGAGAGTGTCCTGTTCACACATTTGGAGGAGAAGCATGGTATCCACAAAAGGGAGAGATTTTTTTCTTAAGAAAATCTAAAAGCTAATGCCCGACAATAGTCAATTAGCACAATTTCTCTGCTGAATAACTCCAAGGAGTTTATATTTCAAGGACACGTTAACTCATTTCTACTTCATGAGGAGAACCCTTAGTTTTCAGTTCTGGAAGCTTTTCATGAGTAGGCATGAAAGAAGGTAACCCTTCCAAACTGTCCACTGAGATGGTTCATTTATTTTTAATTCACAAAATATAGAAAATATTCACTCCCGTTGAGGTATCCATCAAGGAGCCGGGTATGGGGCTTGCTCCTTTGTCTCCAGTCCACTGAAAATCTTCGCTAGCTCTCAGATTGTAATTATCCCCGACAATCACATAAGAGGGAATTTTCCAGGGGAGGCGAGTATGGGGATGTAGCCATCCAGCCTCCTCTCCAGCGAGGGAGAATGTACATTAGAACCCAGCAGCCTTTGGGGGCACAGCCAACAAAGACACCATCGTTGAGTTACCAAGGATTGGGGATGTCATGATGGAAACTGCTGAGTTACTAAGTTAAAGATCTCAGGAAAGAGGGCAGCATAAAGAAGTTCATTTCATTCAAGATCCTCCTCCCACTCTTCACACAATAAAAACTGTTTTAGTCACAGCAACCCTGAAAGAGTCCTAATTTTGGCAACCAAGGATACAGTGAAAGGACAGAGTATTTGCATCTGTGCCCACAGATCTTAGACCCAGCTCACATATCCTATTTGTGGATGTGAACAGACCAGGATAGGGCAGTAATCTACCCAATGTAGGGAACAGCCTCCACTGTTTTCAGAATGTTTTAGGCCAGTGGTAACAAGCCTCTTCTCACCTCCAGCTGTGCACCCTGGCCTATAGTCCCCAGCAGACTGGGCCTCAATCAAACCATGCAGAAGCATGGTGGGTGTTCCCATGCTAATCATCCAGAAAACTAAAGGTACATGGGGTACAACCAACCCCTATCTATTGAGTTATCTCTTTGGCTGTTTCAATATAACGTGCACTGCTTAGGACTGCTTTACATACAAGTAGGCACGTTGATTTTCCATTTACCCACATACATGTTACAGGCAGACATGAATTCTCCATTATAAATAAACCCTGAGCCTGAATATAAATTGAAGAGCACCCACACTGTGTTCTGGGCCACTAGGGGTCCCACCATCGCCTTGATCCTGTAATAGGTGTTACTTCTGGGTTTCCACTCATGTGCCCCCTACAGTGACTAACATAAAATGAATGGGAAAGTCATTTTTACTCAAAAAGAACATCTATCCAAGTTTCTCCCACCTGCCCCAGCGTAACAACTCCAAAACTTTTTAGGTGGAAAGTGCCCATCTTCAGCCTGCACCCAGGCCTCTTCCTATTTGAAATAGAGAATCCTTGAACAAATTAACCCTCATCCTAGTGGAAAAAGGGGAAGCAGAAATGATACTCCTACCAAATCTAACTTTGATTCCTTCCCACTCGGACTGAAACTCTGGCCCCAATAGTCTTATAAGAAGGATATAAGGCAAGAACAGAGAAGAAACTGACCCGTTCCAGAAAGGACAGAGAGCCACACCCTCTTAAATCCCCAGCAGCCTTCACAGGGACTTACCTCGAGCTCCCGCAGGGCATTATCACATTCTTTCTGGCCAGGAGCTTGCTGGGTGCACAGAGTGATCAGCTGATTGATGCTCTCTGTCACAGCTCTGGGACACAAACAGATAAAGGGTTTTGTTTTGTTCTGTGAATACCAACATTTCCCCAACAGTGTTTTCTGGTTCACCAAAAATACAAGTAAATCACTGTCAAGGATGGGGTCCCAGGAGCCTCGGTGGCTCAGTCAGTTAAGTGTGTGACTTCGGCTCAGGTAGTGATCTCTCGTGGTTTGTGGTTTCGAGCCCTGCGTCAGGCTCTGTGCTGACAGCTCAGAGCCTAGAGCCTGGAGCCTGCTTTGGATTCTGTGTCTCTCTTTCTGCCCCTTCACTGCTCAGGCTCTCTCTCTCTCCCAAAAATTAGTCAACATTCAAAAAAAATTAAAGGATGGGGTCCCCATGCGGGCTCTTCCACAAGGCTCTGAATGACCAAAATAAACCACAACCAGGGAAGATAGAATGAGTGCCCCCACTCTGCCTGTAATTATTCATTTGATTTCCCTTTAAAGGGTACTAATAGTTATTTTAAGAAAGTAGGACTATCTTTTAGCATATTCACAGGAAAGAATTTACAACCAAGTTGCAAATAGCAAAGAAATCATATTAACACTGTTTTAAATATCCTTCATTAGCAGCCCATAAGGAATAAGATGATCTGAGCTAGCCTATTTGGGATAGTCTTTGTATCATTTGGAAGGTTTTATGTATCTTAAAACGTAGCGGGCATATAGTAAACTGTGCTTATAATTTTAAAATCTCTTCTTTCCATGAAATTCTACATGATTTGCTACTTCCTAGAAGCTGTCCCCAAATTATTGTTTAAAATAGCTCTTTTCTTTAACATTAACAGGAATTAAAGACTCGTGTGATTTTACACGTGTTTCTATTCTTCTTAGAACTTGAGAGGCAGCTCAGAGTTTTTTCTATATTGGAAAGGATTCCACCTCTCCCGGGCAGCCTATGCTTACCTCCTGCCTAGGTTAGGCCATGGATCATTTACAAAGTCACGGTCCATTTTAATTTTTTAATAAGGTGTGAAATATGGGTCCAGGTTCTTTTTCTGTGAGGGTGAGGGTGGCTTATGCAAGTCAAATTATTTCAGCACCCTTCACTGAAAACGGCTGTTCTTTCTGCATGGCCTTGCTTTTCTTTTTTAATTTTTTTTAATTTTTTTTTTCAACGTTTTTATTTATTTTTGGGACAGAGAGAGACAGAGCATGAACGGGGGAGGGGCAGAGAGAGAGGGAGACACAGAATCGGAAACAGGCTCCAGGATCCGAGCCATCAGCCCAGAGCCTGATGCGGGGCTCGAACTCACGGACTGTGAGATTGTGACCTGGCTGAAGTCGGACGCTTAACCGACTGCGCCACCCAGGCGCCCCATGGCCTTGCTTTTCTAATTTTGTGGACAATCCCTGGGCCTTATTTATGTGAGTCTACCTCTGGACCCTATTTCATTGACCTATGTGTCTAACCCTTTGCCAATAACACACTGTTTTTATCCTAAGTAAGTCTTAAAATTGAATAGCCTGTGTTTTAGACACGAAAAAAACAGAGATGGGAGAGACTTCGTTAGGGGGATGCTACAAGTAAGGAGCAAAAACACTCAAACCCATGCCTATCTGCCTCCAAAGCCAGATCCACAACCATTTTTTCCATAGGATCATCACTGGTCTACACTCCGGCAGGCCCTCAATTCTCTTCATAGTTACTAACCACTGCAGCTAACTCGCAACTTAAAACAAACAAAAACAAAACAGCACACTTGCTGTTCATCATTAACGCGGCCTAATATAAAAGAGGTCTCATTTTATTAAATTGGCTTTGCAGCTTCCCACAGAATAACACATTTGATGGAAGATGATGTTGCCAATGCACAAAGGCAATCAGCTTAATTATTTGATGAGGAGATACTGCTTTGAATTTTTAATTTAGCTAGGGTGGATGGGAAGAGGAAAAAAACATTCCTGAACTCACGAAGGAATCCCAAAATAGTCTTTGTACGATGAACTCCATCAATTCATTTATGTGGGGGGCAAGGTGTTTAATTAAGGTGTTGTAAGGAAGCAACTGTGTTCTCCATGGTGCAAAGCCAACACAGAAACAACTGGGAGCAGGACAATCTAATTCTGGGCACCTTGGAGGGTGTGGTCCATGATGCCTTCTCTAGATGGGTCACTCAGGGATCCAACGCCATGTTCCATGTGGCAGGCTTCAAGACATACTTCTGAGTGGACAGGTCGGCATGCAGGAGCATAACAAAGGGTGCAGAATGCCCTTGACTGTGATGACATGATCATGTGGAGGATATTTCTACGTATCACACAAGCTTTCCATTTAGCTTATTTCTTTCCCCGTTTCCTGTTTATCTGGCTTTTTTTTTTTTTTTAACCTAGTCTTCACATAAAGATTTTTTCCATTAAAAACTGTTGACGATTGATGAACCCAAAGAATACAGAGCTGTTTATTGTCCTATTGTTTTGACTATTTTTCAGATGTGAAAAATTTTCAAGTAAATCTTGGGGTCAAAAAACACCAAGAGACCAAAGGTTTGTGGTTGGATAATCCATACAAGTGCAGCACAGCATTGAAGTCTGAATGGTCGATGGCTAAGAGGCATGGTTTAGGTATTGTTTTTCCCAATTTTAGTCTGGATTAAAGAGCCCAATAATAAAATGAGTGGCCCAGAGGCAAACGGTTACACAGATTTGACAGTGATAAATAGTATTTGTAGGTTGCAAACTATAGCAGTGAGTTATAAGATCAAAGAATTGGAGGCACCCCAAATGTGCAATGATAAAGGACTGACTCAATAAATGTCGAGTCTACAAGAGAATTCTGGGTTCCCATTAAAGGTCATAATGTATAGGCCTAAACTGTACTTTTTGTAATCTTTTTATACAATTAAAAAAATGATTAAAGCTACACAAGTTTGTTTTTTTTTAATACAAAAAAGTTAAATAGCCACAATTCCACCATCTAGAAGTAGTGATTGTTTCCTTGTATTTTGTTCTTTATGTAGGCATATCTAGCCATTCTCAGTTTTAGAAAAAAACTGAAATCCATAACCTCAGATGTTAAAACAAGACTCTCTAACCTACACGTTGTTTAGTGTTTAGAGATACTGAATTGATTCAACTAGTTTGGGAGCTCTGGAGGGAAATTTCATTATTACTTTTCTCATGTTTATTTTAGTTTTGATAGAGAAAGAGAGCAAGAGCGTGAGTGGGGGAGGGGCAGAGAGAGAGAGGGAGACACAGAATCCGAAGCAGGCTCCAGGCTCTGAGCTGTCAGCACAGAGCCCGACGCGGGGCTCGAACCCATGAACCATGAGATCATGACCTGAGCCGAAGTCGCAGGCTCAAACGACTGAGCCACCCAGGCAGCCTGGAAATTTTAAACAGATATGGAGATGTGCCAGCAGTAAGAAAGACAATCGACCAATTTGTGCTTTTGATGATCTGTTAAGCACAAATCATCTAATAAGGAGCTTGGCTGGGAAAACAGCAACATCAGACATTTCCCTTCCTTAAGCAACAGTGTCCTTAAGAAGGTGAGAAAGAGCCCCCAAATTCCACCTGTGCATATTCCCTGGTCCTGCTCTGCATAAGGCATGAGAATTAAAAAAAAATAACACTATAGTTTGTCTCTCTAGGAAAGCAAGGTGATTGCAATCCGGTTGGAGAGGCAGGATAATGAACAGATAAGGCACAAAGAAGGCGAGCCAAAGGAAGCAGGGATGGGGGTAGCACGTCAGACAGGATCCTGAACCTCCCAGAGGCCAGATACACTCTGGGCTCGCAGGCAGCACTGACGGAGGACACAGTTTCTTCATGGAAGGGAGAGCTCCAGGGAGGCCACAGCAATCAGTGAAGTCAGGCCTGAGCGAGATCCAGATTTGGAAAAAGGAAACAGAACACTCTGGAGGAGACCAACACACGGCCTAGTTTATATTTTCCTATTTCATAGTGTGGAAGTGCTGCTTGCTGGGTGATCCTTTTTCACTGTGTCTGGAGACAGGAGGAAGCCTGCCTGGCAGGAACCTCAAAACAAAGGGCAGCCCAGGAAGAGGAATCACTCACAAAGTTCTAAGAAACCCTCAGGGGACAGGAAAGCAGCTGAAAGACTGGCTGGGTCCCAAAGCTGGCAGTGGTGGGCATAAAGTCTTCTCAGCTGGGAGTTGTCCTAGCCAGGGTGACTGTGGTGTGAGCAGTGGTAGAGGGGAGGTGCTTAGAGGTACGATGTTCCCCCCACCTTTTGCAACTGCAACCTGGTTTTCCCTTTCTTTGGCTAAGTTCAGGGAGCATCAGACCAGCCCCTGGTCAGGGAAAAAGCTGATGAATGATTGACAAAGGGTTGCCAGCTCTACCCAATTCATCAGAGGAGAGTCCGAGCTCACCAACTATACAGGAAGATAAACAAACTGGGCACTCAACAGAAAAGGACTTCATCCCCACTAAGCATCAAAAACCAAAGGACTGGGCTCCTCAAATGCACCTGGGCTCTGATGCAGAATGGAGAACAAAGGAAAAGGTCATATCAACTGCTCTTCCAGAGAAGAAAGAGTCTGGAGACCATAACGAATAAAGGATTCAAGGTTGCTGACACAGGAGCAGGACAGGGCTGTGTTGGTCCAGGTCTGGGTCCTCACAATGGCATCCTTGGGGCTACTGTGTCATCCACATGACACACAGGCAGGGCTTGGTGTCTCAAGAATAGGGAGGGCAGTGGCAATAAGATACCTGGTTCTTAACTCCAAGGGCACTTACATGCAGGGTTGTTGCCAAGTCCAGATGGAAGGGGGTGAGCATGCTGTGTGTGTGTGCCCTCTGTCCTAACTCTACCAGGGCCATCCCGGTTGTATTCACGGTGTGAGCCCAGCATCCAAGGCTGGACCTAGCCCATAGCAGGCATCTGGGAAAAATCTGCTAGCTGAATGAATGAATGCATGCATGCACCCCAGCTGTGCAGAGCTTTACCTCCAAAAGGGAGCTTGCCTGACTCAGGGGATCTGGCAGGAAGTTTCCACTGGGAAACCTCCTCAACGAGCACAGCTTCCCAACATGTGCCACAAAGCCAAAGACAATGTGCCGGCACAATGATTTCATGTGATGGTTTTAAAGCACGTACTTGGCTATGAAACCATCAGGCTGGGAACTTCCTGTCAACGCTGAAAGCCAGGACAGAGGCAAGGAAAGCTTTATCACCTGGTCTCTGGGGCCCTTCCTCAATGTCACCACCAGGGGGCCTTCAGACACCCACAGAGCCAGGACAGCACCAATATTCCTTGAGGGCCTGGGTTTCCTTCCTTATCTGGCTTTCAATTTACACTCTCCCCTTCTTCCCATAATTTAGGAAAGTGAACAGCGCGTTCTAAGTTGGAAACTATAATTTTGAAACGACGCAAAAAATTGAAGATAATGAAAAACGTCTGAGTTCGGATACCTGGAAACATCAGTTGCCTTATCCAAAGGGTCTTTGTAGGAAAAAGAGGAATCAAGAGAGGGTTTTATATGAGAAACAGCTGCTCAACAGAGGAGACATCACTTCTTTCTTTCTCATCCCCTGCCCCTCGGAGGGCACTCACTCACTGGCACAGTCACAAAGCCTAAGATGGAGGTGGAGAGAGGGGAGGGTTTTTTTTCCACTCCTAGTGGCTCTCACTATTGTTTGAAGCTAAAGTATACACACCTAAGGATAACTGTTTTCAAGGGAAATTCTCTAAAATTATCTAATTGCCTCACCATCTGC